TATGCAAATGTTGCCCCGCCCCCGCCCCCCTCGCACTGGCCGGCCGGCTCATGCGTGTGCAAACCTGCGGCCCCGCCCCGCGCGCTGCGGCGCCCGGTGGCGTCAGTGAGCGCGCCCGTGACGTCATGCCCTGACGTGACGTGCGACGTCAGGGAGAGGCAAACCTTGCATAGGTAGGGGAGAGGGTTAGGACCAGGGCCATAAATGAGACCACACCAGAGGGAGCAGCTGGGAGCAGCTTTATTCACCGCCCCCCACTACCCCCCAGACCCAGGCCGGGGGCGGAGGGGAGGCGCAGGCGGAGGGGAGGCGCACCCCCTGCTCACTGCCCGCAGCCGCACAGTCCAGACTCCACGTGCCGGGGGAGCAGCCCCCACGCCCCCCCCGGGCACCGTGGAAAAGGGGGGCAGCAACCGAAGCACCAGGGCCCCCACGGCCAGACACAGATGGGATCTGGCCCGCAGTGCTAGGAGCGGCCCCAGTACTGGGCGTAGAGCTGGTCGAAGAGGGGCCGGCAGGGCACGCGGGCGCGCAGGTAGGCACAGGCCAGGAAGGCGCCGGCCAGCTTGCGGTGCAGGGCGTAGCTCTCGGCGGGCGGCGGCGTCAAGCGGTGCCGCAGCATCACGGGCACCAGCGTCTGCAGCCGGCGCGTCGTGTGCTGCGCCCCAAAGTCAAAGGGCCCCGGCGCCGAGAAGGCCTCGCCCAGGATCAGGACCGCCTCCACGTGCGCCTCCTCGAAGGCCTGGGGTGGGGCGGAGGGAGCAGTGGTCAGGGCACAGGGGAGGAAGGGGCTAACGTGCCCCCACCCCAGCCCTGCCAGGGCTTCTCCCTCCCATCCTGCAGCCCCCTGCCAGCCCGGTCGGCCCCTTACTCCTGACCTGCAGGCCCCAGCCCCCTGCACCCACCTGAGTCTCGAACCCGGTCAGGAACTTGAGGTCCTTGGATTTCTGCAGCACCTTGGCCCGGTCCCTGTCAGCCGCGGCTTTCACCACCTGCCGCAGGGGCAGCCTGAGAACAAGGCGTGATGCCCAGACCCCCCGTATCACCCCATGCCCCATAGGGGCAAAGCAGCATCTGCAGCCCCTGCCCCGTCCCGGCTCATCTGCAGGGCCCCTCCTACTGGCTCTGACCTCAGCCCAGGGGCCCGAACCAGGAGCAGGGCCCCCCAGTGCCAGCCCCTGCCTTACAAAGCCCCTGGGGCAGCAAAGGAAACTGAGGCATGGGTGGGGGGGACAGGACTTGTCTGAGATAACAGCAAGCGGTAGAATCAGTGATAAAACCCAGGCCTTGCTATTCAGTCTCTACCCACTATGCTGGACTGCTCCTGCCTTCGTCTCCACCAGCCCTTACCTCAATGTAGTCGTCCGTGAAGCCCTTGCTGAAGGTGCGGCTGGCCCCGAAATCCAGCAGCGTCACCTGGGTCAAGGGAGCGGAGGCAGAGGGGGGTCAGCAACCGCGGACCGCGTCGCCAGGACCACCTGCCCCAAAACTCACCTTGTGTCGGGCCGGGTCGTAGAAGAAGTTGGCCCAGTTGGGGTCTGTCTGCATGAAGCGAAACTCGAAGATCTCGCGCAGGCAGAGGCGCAGCATCTGGGAGCAGATCTGGGGGGAGGACGGGGAGCAGCTGCAGGGTTTGGGGGCCCCCAAGCAGGATCGGGTCCCTGGTCATACTCTGTTGGGCACAGCCTCCAGCTGAACCCCACCCCTGCCTGGGAAGTGCGTGTGCCACAGTGTCACACGTGTGCAATGGCAGGGAGGGGCAAGCGCTGCCTCTCCACATCTGCGCGTCCGTCCCTCACCTCGTCCCGCGTGTCCTGGCCCAGCCCCAGGCACTGGTCTAGCGGGACGCCGGGCGCCAGCTCCATGGCCAGGACCCGGGCGGCCGTCAGCGACTCCACCACACGCGGCACCTACGTGTCGCCCCCCCGCAGCTGCCTGGGGGAGCAGGGGACGTGGCTGCCAGTGTTGATGCTTGGCCCCCGGAGCAGTGCATGCTGGGATACGTACCCACAGGGCCAGAACTCAGGTGTCCAGGCCCTGCCCTGGCTGGCTGCCCCCAAGCCCTGAAGCTCTCCCCCCCCTGCCCAGCCCCC